AGTTTTCAATATTGCGGAAGCTTAACAATCATAATCACAAACATAATTTATTTATGTTCTTTAATTCAAAACCATCACATCCATTCCGACAATCTCGCCTCCGTCTGCCTCCAGGATCACGTCACTTCATTAACCTGCGTGTAGCAAATAAAACATACTACACGCTCAGCGTTGAAGCTGAGTAAGCATATCTAATGCATCGAACATCCATATAAACTGAATCTAAATTCATAATCAAATCATTTGATATCATGCACATAATGTTCAGTTCAGATAATCAATAATTATTAAAAATTATTCATCATGCATTATTCAACATTTATATTCACATTCAATGTTCATCAGTCATTCATAATAATTGCAATATTCAATTCAATATTCATCATTCAATATTTACTCATATTCAATATTCAATATTCAACATTCAACAATATCCTTAAACTATTCTTAGTCTAAGGCCAATCACTTTAATATTTGTCAACCCTTAAACGAATTCTAGTTTAAATAATTAAACTATATTCCAGTATAAAATATTCCTAAATAATCCTAAAGCTAGGCCTAGTTTAAGATAAAAGGGTTTTGAAAATCTTAAACTTACCTTCACTTAAGGCCAACCAAAAACCGACAGCGTAGTGTTCACTGTTGGGTGGGTGGTACCCCCAAACGAGTAGGTACTCAAGTTTGGTTTCTGGATCCCGTACGTACGTTTTAACCCTAGCCACCGGGGTTCATACCCACAAGGCCTAACTTAAATAGGTATATCTTAGAGTTCTTCTAGATACCTTTCAAATCAACATTAATATGGGTATATCTTAGAGTTCTTCTAGATACCTTTCAAATCAACATTAATATGGGTATATCTTAGAGTTCTTCTAGATACCTTTCAAATCAACATTAGTATGGGTATATCTTAGAGTTCTTCTAGATACCTTTCAAATCAACATTAATATGGGTATATCTTAGAGGTCTTCTAGATACCCTTGACAATACATATTATTTTCACAATCATCAATATATTCATTATGATTTAATCATTCAAAATTATCATTTTTAATCAGAATATTTATTAAGATTTAATCATCATAATTATCAATCAATAATCATTACCATAATCATCATATCAATCAACATAATATTCAATAACAATTAACGGCCTAGCTTCGGGTGTTAACACCCTAACTTACCGTCATGCATCACATAACATTTTATTTGTTAAAAATATTACTTTTAATGTGAAAAATCATTATTATAATGATCATAATCAATTGGTATCAAAAATAGGATTTTAGAGCTCAAAAATAACATTTTCAGACAAATTTTCGGATCAGAATTTCGGGGGATCGATCCAGCCTTCTGGATCGATCCATACCATGAAAATTTACTCCCAGGGGATCGATCCAAGCCCCTGGATCGATCCAGACAGTG